ATTTATATTAAAAAAAATTAAATAAAATTCATAAATAATTATGATAAATAAAAAATTAAAGTAAATAAAAAATTTAAAAATTCTTTTATTAAAGAAAAGTCCATCAAATAATATCGTGTAAGATAGTTGTTTATATTTATTATATGAGGTTTGATTTATAAATTTAAACTTACTGTTTATTTATATATATACATAATTTATTATAAATTTTATTTATATATAATAAATTTAGTATTTGCATTGCACATATTAAAATATAATTAAATAAAAATGTGTTATATCGCCTTTGTTTTTTATTCTTCTAAAATCTGTAAACATTATTTTTTATTTTTATGAAATGAATAAATTTTAATTTTGATCTTATAGGTTTTTTTTTGTTTTCATTACTCTAGAATTTAAAATCACTATTTTTTTTATCTTTAATAATGTTTTCAAAGTAAATAAAATTTATTTTAAGGACTTATTTCTTTTTTAAAAGTGTTATACACTAACAATTATTATCGCTAACAATTATAAATAAAATTAAAATGAAACTTAATTTTTTAATAAAAAATAAATAATTTAAAATAAATACATAATAACAACTAAAAATAATGGTCTAAATTTTAGAGACATAAATAATATTTTTTTATAAAATCAAAATTAAGGGGAGTGTATTAGTTTAAGATTTTGTAGGATTTTAAAAGATTTTTTTTAATAAAAAAGTTCATTGGTATTCAATCAGGATTTTATGTCACTTAAAAACAATTCAGTAGTATTCAATCTGGATTTTCAATATTTTTTAAAGAATCCATTAAAATTCATTGGTATTCATTTGAGATTTTTTACAACTTAAAAATAATCCATTGGTATTCAAAAATATAAGGATTTTAAAGGATTGTTGTGTGAGAGGAATTTTGAAGGACTTTCTAGTGCTATCTATAAATACCAAATTCATAAAACAATTCCATCCAAACCCATCGGATTTTGAAGGATTGTTTGAAATGACTTTTCAAGTGTTTCAAGAATTTTCAAGTGAGTTTTTCATCTTTTTTTTTCTATACTCCTGTCTTCTCCATTTTTCTCTGCTAATAATACTGCACTATTGTTCATTGCTCATATATAATATTGTAGTACTATTCTCATTTCATTCCCTTATTCTATGAAACTCTTATATGTAAATGGTAGTGTCATTGACTTGTTCTATTTTTCTGTTCGTTCTCTTTAATTGACTTGCTCTATTTTTTCTATTTAGTTGAATTTGTTCCTTTATATAACATAAAAACAATGTTTGAAATTTCAACTTTTAAGTGGTAATTTTTTTTATAACACACGTCAAGAAAAGGAAAAGGTGAAAGATGAAATTGATATCATGATATCTACAATATATATATATATATATATATATATATAAGATGAATTTGAGTTAGGGTTTTTGTGAGTAAAATGAGATAAAAATGAATCTTAAAAATAAGATGAATTTTAGCTGGGTGAAGAACCCTCTCAGCATAAAAATTGCAATCTCTCTCCTTTCCTTGAGTTTGTTATTCTTATCTCTCCTTCTTTTAAGATTCAACAAATATTTTATTCTTTTTACTATGAAATTTTCTTTTTATTTTCATATTGTGAAATTATAATTTTTTATATTAAAAAAAATAAAATTAACATAAGACGTTGCAGTATCAAATTTTTTTAGGGTTTAGGGTTTATGTCTTCATTAACTTATTTTTTAAAAAAGGAAATATTGTTAAAATATAGTCTACAAGATTTTGCAGGACAGGGTAATGACCCTGAAAATGAGAAAGAATTATTCAATCTTCGTCATGCGTCTTTAAGGAATGTAGTCGAAAGAATATTTGGTATTTTTAAATAAAGGTTCACAATTTTTAAGTCAACACCTCCATTTTTATTTAAGATACAAGTAGAACTTGTATTAGTATGTGCAGCATTACATAACTTTCTACATAAAAAATGTCGTTATGATGAATTTCCAATTGAAGCGGTGGATGAACTTTCATCTTCAACATTACCATTTAATGAAGATCATGTTTTTGAGCCTATTATTCAAACCCAGGAGTAAGAGCGAGAAGACGTTAATGCTTGGAGGACTAGTATAGCTATGGATATGTGGGTGAATGTTATTTAAGAGGATAGAATATTATGAAGATTATTATTATAATTAATATTTATCTAGATATTGTTGTTTTTTTTTTATTATTTTTGTCTTTGACTCTTTTTAAATTTGAATTGATGAATTTTTTTTTGAAATCTTATCAAATGTAAAAAATCCACAAAAATTCTACAAAATCCATTAAAATCTTGATTTAAAAGTTTTGCAGAATCCATTAAAATCTTGATTTTAAGTCATGTAGAATCTTGCAAAATCTTAAAAGTCATGAAAATCTTGCAAAGTCTTTTAAAATTTGCAAAAATTTTTTTAACTAAAAAAGTCTTTTAAAATCTTAATCCAATACACCCTCCTAAAATTTACTTATTTTATTGAGACTAAAAATATATTTAATTTTAATGTTAAATAAGATAGGATTAATTAATTAAAAGAGAAATTCTATGGTACCCATCTTATTTGAGAGGGTACCGGTACAGTTTTTTATATTTTATATTTTTAATAATTTATTTAAATAATATTTATGATATTTTATTCTTTCAAATTTTAAATTATTTAGTCATTTTATTTTTATTTTATATATTCTAATTTATTTGTAATAATATTATTATATATTTAAATAGTTTAATTTTAATAATTTTTTAAGTATATTTTTATCTTTTCACTTAAAATTTTTGAATTTTTATATTTTAATTTTAATAATTTTTTAAGTATATTTTTTGTCTTTTTGTCTTAATAAAATCTTATAATTTTAATCTCTATAATTTTATCTTACTTTTTATTTTATAAGTATAATTTAGATTATTTATTTTATAATTAAATTATTTTTTTTAATTTTTTATAAATTTAATAAAAAAATGTATTGAAACTCCTCGATCTTTGAGAGTACCGTAGCAATTCCTTAATTAAAATTTGTTTCTTTTCATTAAATTTTTTCCTCTTTTATTTGAGTACAAATTGTACAATATGTTAATCTCTCGAATACATGTTACCATACCACGGAGTAATGTTGCACCATTTCTACCACGGTTACACCACATGCGACAGTGTGGGATGCATGCAACTTTACTCTTACTTTTTCAATAGAACATAGAATCTGTGAAAGGATTCATGTTCTCCAACTCGCCCACACTCTTTTCTAACAATTCGGACTTTTGAATTTTGGATCGGTTCGGTCCCAACGGTCACACTTCACAAACCCTACTTTTGTTTTCACTTTTCACCCTCTCTTCTCTGTAAATGGGTTGGAATCTCCTCTTCTGGCTCCTCATTTGTTTCCCTGCCAACATTGCTCTTCTCGCCTCAACTTTCTACCAGGTCTTGAATTTTCCTTTCATTTTCTTTACAAATGTCGAAAAATATGATTTTTAATTAATTGTTGTTGTTGGGGGTTTAAGGTTTTGATTCTGTCTGATTTGGAATCTGATTACATCAACCCTTTTGACGCTGCGTCACGGATAAACTACTTCGTCCTTCCCGAGTTCGTTGGGCAGGGAGCGTTGTGTGCTCTTTGCCTCTTCACTGGCCACTGGTTCATGTTTTTGCTCACAGTGCCTGTTACTTGCTACCATGTCATGCTGTGAGTCAACTTCTTTTTTCTCTTTTTGTTTTTTGGCCAAATGAAAGGATAGTGAACAATGTGTTGTTAGTGTTTGGTGGGATATTTGGATTTGTAAATTTGTTGCAGATGTTGTCTGTGTGCTGAAAATAAGGTTTAATTATCTTTTGCTTTTTATAGTTTCATGAACTTTACCTCTTTATTCTTATGATTAAAAATATTCTATTTTAGTCCTATAAGTACCATTTTCTTTTTGGACAAAACTTAAGTTCAGTTCCTTATATGTAGTTAGTGCTGTTCTCCAATCAAAGTTGGAGCATTACCTTGTTGGGTGTGTAAATATACATATTAATGAGACCTGTATTAAATGCAAGTGTATAATATCAAAGTAAAATCTTAACTCTAATTGGAGAACATCACCAATTGCACCTAAGGAACCGTACTTGAGTTTTGTCTTTTTCTTTTCTTTTAATTTCTATAGTTTGATAAACTTTACTTTTTAGTCCCTATAACAATAGATGATAGGGACTAAAAGGAAAGAAAAGTGGTATGTATAATAAGGGAACTAAAATGGGAACCACAAGGGTCGGCCTAGTGGTGGAGGAGTAGTATGGACAAGGTCTTAAGTTTGAATTCTATTGCTATCATTGTAATTCATACGGATCAAAAAACAAGAACTAGAATGGAACCTTTTTAATAATAAGGACTGAAAGGTAAAATTTATGAAACTAAAGTGACCAAAAGGGTGATTGAACCTAAAAATAATGTTATGGATCTATAAACTCCCCATAAGTACTTATAAGAGAAAAGAAAAAGATAAGGGAAAATGAATTGAACTTCTTTTGAAAGTTAAAATCAACACATGGCCTCAAATTTTGAAGAAATTAGATGGGAGAGCTTATATACAATTTATTTTAGCATAAGACTTTTACTTTTGAAGCATTTGTCTAAACTGAAAACAAACCACCTATTGGGGAACTTTTATATTTATATATATGTGTGTGTGTGTGTGTGTGTGTTTTTTTCTAGATAGATTCTTGCACAGGTCTAATTTGCTGGGGAATCAAGGGGGTAGAGTACTTATATGATGAGATATGATAATAGTTGTGTGTTTATTCTGACTTTTGTGTAAATGGAAAATTGCACTCTATTACGGTTTGAATCTGGAGGTTTTGATTGAAGCTGCATTCACTCTGATAATTTATTTTGCCCACCTCCCTTTTTGTCATATAAGCTGTTGAATATTCGTTGTGACAAAGTAGATGGAATTCTTTAAACTCTCTGTGTGGCTACATTGGTGTTTATTGTTTACTTATTTGGTTTTTTAATCTACTAGTTTACATTTTACATTTTAATTTGAAAAAAATCTTTTAAAATATTCTTCATACCCTTCTTGTCAATTTGAATATGTTAGCATGCAACTAAGAGAGGTTTTTTGTAAAATCAAGAAAACAATTAAATGCCAATAAATTACTTCTCCACTCATTTGACATGATCTTAATCTCCTCTTATTCACCCTCTCCCATAGCAACCTGTAGTATATTCTTCTTAAAACAAAGGATTTTATGATAAAACTTTTGTTTAGGAACTATTATTTTTATCTTCCGAAAAAGTACTAGAGCAACTTTTCTTGGCTACTTTTTTTTTCTTTTAAAAGTTGCACAATTTTCAATTGGGGAAAATGCTTCTTCATAGTCTGGCCATAGGTTTGTGTAAACCCTTGGGGTTTGAACTAACAATCTAGACTTGAACTTCTCTATGCCATTGCTGCAATCTGACTTGTACTGGACTGTGAAAGTTCATTTACTCCTCACTTCTATCTTCCTGTCAGTTGAACAATATCCCTTCAAAGGTTTTCTTGAAGAGCTATCAATCACAAGCTCTCCATTAGAAATGTCCCATAGCCTGCAAAATAATTTTAGGAATTTCCACCTTATCCTCTTATTGACAGCTGTGGTAAATACTTGTGATAGATTGGCATGCATAACAATTAGAAATTGATTGTTTTGTACATGTCTTCTTCCCTTCTGAAGGGCAATAATGAGGAGATCCAAATCTGTTTAAGTTTGAGGATCTTCTGTATCTACACAATATTGTTCGTGTCACTGTCAAAGTGTAGATTTTTATTTTTTATTTCATCTCTCTTGGACAAATGCTTTGCCTTGTTGAAGTGGTTTATGTCTCATACCATATATTTTTGTGGAAGAATCTTATGAGAGTTGTTTCTTCTCTGGGATTAGTTACCAAGGTAGATTAGGTTCAAGGTTCAGTCTCAGGTTGGGAGTTGTGAATTGGGAGATGGACAACACAAATTCAGAAATTTTGGACAGTTTTTGTTTAGAATTTTTCTGGCTGTGTCATCTACAATTTTTGTTTAGAATCTGTATGAAATAATGCAGTGAAGTGAACCTTATTTGTTAGTATTGCAAGGTGAAATGAATGCATGATGCCTTGATCCATGCCAAGGTTTCAAATAGCATGCTATAGTGCTGCTATAGCAGCATTGTGGTGCAACCCCTGCCTGATATAAGGGCTGCCATAGCAAAGCAGTTTAGCATAGCAGTTGTAGCAGGCTGAATAGTGGCAATAGAGACACTATTTGTTGATTCCAAAAGAGCCTTTTGAACAGAGACATTAGGGATTTTTCAGGGGAGTATTTCTGGGATTTCTATTTCAAAAAATGAAATATACTAATGTAATAGTAGTGAATATTATAAAGAAGACGACTTGTGTTAAGTTGTTGTATTTGACTTTTGTTGGTATTTTTTACTTTTATGTTTTGTTTAAGGCAGCTATGACTTTTTATTGGTAATTATGAGTGTTGTTAATCTTCAGTAATTTTTAACATTTTTGAGAATTTATATTATATTGTATGCATTATATAAGCTATAGGTTAAATACATAATGTAGTCTCAATGAGTGTCATGAATTCTCAATTAGGTCCCTATATGTAAAAATTTGTTAAATCAGTCCCTATATGTGCAAACATTACCAATTTGGTCCTTGTTGTGTTTACCATTACCTTGCGCATTCTTAATTTGATCCCTAAACATGTAACGCTTTTTTAATCTGGTCCCTATACATGTAGCACATTCTTAATTTGGTCCTTCAAAATGTTTTAGTATAGGGACCAAATTAAGAATACATACAGGGTTCACTGTCAATTTAGGATCATTATAAACGGTGTTATGACATTAGGGACCAAACCGATAATGTATAGGGACCAATTTCATAAGTTTTCATGTATAAGGATCAAATTTAGAATCTGCATCATGTATAGGACTAAATAATGTGTTTAACCTAAACAAACAATATAATTTTTCATAGTAGTCAATAGCAGCCGGAGCGGCCGCTATCGCGGCGCTCCGGAGCGGAGCGGCCCGACACCGCAATGGTGATGTTGTCGCGTCTCGGATTTCTGTCGCGGCTGG